AATATAACCTGGAATGAGAGGAAGAATGTGACTTTGACCTAGGTGGACTGGACCACGTTCTATTCTGTCCTTTTGATTATCTTAGCAGTAGAATTCAATTGCTCAGGCAGCTCACTCAACCAAGGCACACTGGACCAGAACCATGGCCAGAAACACTGAAGCAACCAGGTAAAGACTTATCCTGTCCCTCAGTTTCAGTGACTGGAAGAAGAATCCCAGTTAAAAGGACTATTTATTTTCCTTTACAAAATAAGAGATATTAAGAATATCATAATGCATCTTCAATGGGAAAGTGAGTGCTATTCATGGGTATATTTTTAAAACCCAAATAACTCTCTTTAAGAAATACTTACTTCTCCAGCCATACCTCATGAGGCCATCCATTGAGTTTGCCTGTCAATTGCAGCAAAATCAATATTGCATTATGGTTAGAGTCAGGAGACTTGAATTGTATGACCTTGAGCAAGTCATTTAATCTCTCTGCCACAATCTATATAAGCAAACAATGAAAACAATTCTAGCCACTTGAAGAAGGCAGAGTAAGATTAATGATAGCAAGTTTTCAAGACAATTTTCTCTTGGGCTATTTCCCCCACTTCCTAGTTTGGGGTTTATGCTTTCTTATTTTTGATTCATGTTTGAATCCAAACTCAGCCACCCACATATTGTCACAAGGATGAAGCTGGTTCCAAATGCACAAAGGCCATTCCTCCACTCAGCTGAATTTGATATCTCTGGAGGACATTAGCCCTTGTAAGTGTTATTTTCTCTCACAGGAGAAAGATGAAGGTGACCGAGAAGTTCATTTGGAAAAAAGTTCTTGCATGTTATTACTGTCTTCACTCTGGGAGATTTTGTGGCTTCTTCTTGGGCATACTATTTCCTCAATGGTACCATATCTAGACTTTTCTTTTTACCTCATTGTTGACCTAGCCCATGTAACTGATGTTCTAGTTCGGTCTTGCTCTTCCAGCTTGGTGCTCAGTATTCTCTCCAGAATATACCTCAAGTGTTTGTCCCACACCTTCACAGCCTGTGACTATAAGTGCTATATCACTACTTACTGACACATTGAATGACAACCCTATTATCTAACTTTTCCAGTTGCCCTTTGATTCTCTTATTTCAGTATCAGAATTACTATTATTTCTAACCTATGACTCTCCAGATACTTCATTATCTCTTTTATTAAAATTGCTTTTATGCTTTTCCTTCATTCTGGGATCACTGATTCCAGATAGATAAGAAGTACATAAAGGTGGAACTTACTCCTCTGGTCAAGTTCATTCTGTTGGATCCCTAAATTAGCTTACTTGTTTTTTGTTTTGTTTTTCTTGCTTCAACTTTCACCTTTATGTGGATGATTCTTATGTTTACAACTTAGACATTCTGGCCAGTTTGATTTAGAAAATTCTTTCCTAGCATTTGTCAATCTAAGAACACATATTGATTCTTACATTAAGGATACATTGTGAGGAACCTTGGAAGGTCAGATTAACAAATTTGAGCTTTATCCTAGAGTGAGAGTTAAAGATATTTTTGACATGTTCCAGGGGAATATATTGCTCTTTCAGCAGAATGGGAAAAGGGTAGATAGAAGGTTGGGGGTTTTCCAAGTCAACATCAGTGATCTTCCAAGAAGTTTCCAGCCTGATGCAGTCAGATATCATGCTACAACTAAAGCCCAGATTTTCACTGACACCCTTGTGTCAGTGAATTGTCTCAATTCCTGACTCTCTGGCTGTGGTAGAAACAGAGAAGAAATGAACATGAGTTTTAAAGTGTAGATTGGCCAACAGTTGTTTCTTTTAATCAGTTAAATCAGCCTTTCAGTTCAAGAACATTCTTTGGAGATTCTGAAATTAATATTATTCTCACTTTGCATAAATATTAGGAATATTTGTATTTTCTATGTCTTTAGAGGTATTTCATTCAGAAGTTGAGAGGAGCTGCATTAAGCATAGCAAACTAGTTGGTATTTTGAAATAGACATCACTTTTTGTCATTATTTTGCAAACAGACTGAAATAGATGGTCAAAAGAAAAAGAGGGACTGCATGCTGAGAATTCAGACAGCTAGGAAGTAGCCACTGTTGGATCAAACACATAAAATAGATGTGTTCTTCACTTTGAACACAGTGAATTTTTTTAAAAATTATTTGTTCTTTTTAGTTATACATGACAACGGAATCCATTTTGATATAATTATACAAGCAGGGACTATATTTTATTCTAGCCAGGATCCCATTCTTATGGATAGTAGGATTCACTGTGTGTTTTCTGTGATATGTAGAAGCTAACCCACAATAATGGGAATGAGGGGAAGAATAGAAGTTCAGCAGATTAGACAATGGGGAAGGGAATGGGAATAGGCAAAGGAAAGACAAAGGATTTAAACTGACATAATTTTCCTATGTACACCTATAAAAACACCACAGTGGCTTCTTTTGCTTCCTTGAGGACCTAAGAGTTCTTCCCTCCTCAGGAACTACACAGAGGCTGCTCTCTTCATAATCCTGCAACCCACCTCCACCTGCCTCCATCCTGGATCCTACTTTGTCTCTCATTGCTTGGCTTAAATGTCACTTTCTCACAGAGTCATTTCAACTACCCAGTACTTATTTGATTAGATCCCTCTGCTGTATTCTTCTAATATACCATAATTTCCACCACAGTGCTTATGGTAGTCTGATATCATATATTAGTTTGATCATTTGTGTAGTATCTTCTGCCCACTTTGACATCAACCCTAATCACACAAGCTCTAAAATGGCAGAAGTTGTTGTTAAATGACTTGTGAGTACACAGAGAGGATTAGGAAGGAAAATAGCCTCCATATTTCATATAACTTTATATGGCTTTATAGAAAGCTTTACATAAAGCTTCATATATTTTTATAGTGTATATATTTTTACAAACATGACTTTGGAAATAACTGGTCACAACATGAGGCGGATGACATATAAAGCTCAAGGTCTTTCTTCCCTGAATTGATTTCAAGTCTTTAATCATTTCTCCAGAAGGAATTGCTGCTGCCAAAGCAAATCATCCAAAAAAGAAGATGCTCAGAGCAATTCTAATACAGGGGTTAGTCTATTATTGCTTAGAAATGTCAGGAAATCTGTGGTGAGAACAAATTCTGAAGATTGAGATGGTTTATATTCTTAAATCAAACACATGTCAAAACCCCACGGAATTTCCTTATACTGTCTTATTCATGTGACAATTTAAAAGTAAACATATTAGGGATGTTTAATAACTGTCTTTTCAGATGACAAGTGTGCAGTATTCCATGTAGTAGTTTTGATTCATTTCAGCACACAATGATTTTGCTCTATTGAATTCTATTGGAAAAGCTTTAGAATAGTTAGTTTTTCTATTCAAAGGAATCCTATGGCCAAGTATTCATAAGTAAGGAGCCATTTATAACATGAATGATTGCACTCAATTTGTCTCATTTGATAGTAATTATTTGGCTACTGGATTTTCTCAAAGAGCATCTCATGCACAGAAGGCAGTCTTACCACAGAGCAAACGGTCTCTCAAGAGACATTCTAAGCAGCTCAAATACCAGGAAAACAGAATTTTATTTTGTAACTTTAAAAGCAGGAAGGAGAGAGAATTCAGCCTGAGAACTAATAATACTTTGCTTTTTGCCCTTAAAAGCAACAAAAATCTGGGTGTGGAGATGCAAGCTTGTCATCCCAGAGGCTGGGGAGGCTGAGGCAGGAGAATCCTGAGTTCAAAGCCAGGCTCAGGAACTTAGCAAGGTCCAATGCAACTTATCAAGACCCTGTCTCTACATAAAATATTTACAAAGGGCTGGGGATGTATAGCTCAGTAGCTAAGCACTTATGGGTCTAATCCCCAGTATTAAAAACAAAAACAAACAAAAAGTAAAACCCAAACCTAAGACAAAACAACAAAGTAAAAAAATATTTAATCTGGATTACTTACATCTATATGATTGACAGAATTAGTGTGTGTGGGACTAAGGCACGAAGCTTAGTCTCCTGACGAGTAGCATCTGCTGAGCTGTTGCTGCTTCTAGAACGTAGACTACCTAGTCTGAGCAGCATGAAATGTGGTCCAGCTCTCCTGCTTTCCAGCCTTGTGCCCCAGTGTGAAACAGAAAGCCCAATAAATCCATCAACTTATAGAGATGAATGAGACACTCACATAGAGCTCTTAGCATGCTATCTAGCATATACTGAGCAATCAACAAACACTGACCATTAAGACGGCATGTATCTATATACACAAATCCAAGTCATGGCATCTTCACAGATGTTTCTTTGCTTAATGAATGATTCAAAACCTTTGAAAAAAGGGAGCAACCGATGGAAATATGTAAATATTTTATAATAGTTATATAATATTTATATAACATAAATAAAGAAACCATAAACAAGAATGAATGTATGAGACAGAGTGTAAGTGTGTTGGTGGGTGTGCACGTGTGCATGACCTTCTTAAAGAGAAGTGATGACGTTGTATTCTACCCAGGCTATGTTGGTTCTTGACCTGGGCAGTTACTAGTTACTACTTGGTCTGGTTCTAATTGAGGGAAAGAAAAATGGATGAAAACATCTTGCTTAGTTAGATTTTGTCTCACAAGAGATTAATTGTCTTTATAAGCAGTAAGAAGAGGAAATACGGTCTGGGAACTAATATTACTTCACTTTTTCCCCTTAAAAGTAACCACCATGAAGTAAAATCTCTATTCTACATTACTTCAATCTACATGATCAATATAGAGGAATTACTGTGCCAAGGGAGTAAGGCTCTGAGGCTTATCTCTAAGCAAAGAACACATAATTCAATCCATCTCTTCCATGTGACCATTTCAAAGTCCCCAAATGTGACAATATGTTCATCTCAAACCAAATCCTGACCACAAATATGTATAGGTTGTCTTCCTTGTTCTTTATCAATGGATTTAGAAATTGTTAAAGGAGAACCTCTAAATATTGTGCAATTTCTAAGAAAACCACCAAGCTGTTAATGAAGTAAATATCTGTTTAATTTACAAACATCAGTAGTGTAACTGATATTAGTCTGGAGAAAGACAAAGCACACTGAATTATACATGTACATCTAATTTTCTTTTTTAAAAAAGATTTTTTTGGGGGGTTGGGGGAGAAACATCTGCATCATTACAGGGCACCCTGGGATTTTAGTGAGGGAAAAGCAGAGTCCACTATAGATCCTCATCAATTCTACAATGTAATTTAGCAGCAAATATGTTAACATGGGAACATGAAGGTAATTAAGGAGTTTTATTTTTGGAAAAAAATTACAGTTTTTGACATGACAGTTTCCCTCCCCACCAATCAATAAAAGGGCAAAAAAATGTCAAGGAGATATTAATTTGTAAAAGGTCTACTTTCTAGTGTCAATTGCTACACACCATTTTTCTTCTGTAAAGACGTGTAGAGGGGCCACTTCTTTCTATATGATGACTGTCTCACACAGATGTCATTTTCCTACTCTTACTCTGCATGCTCTTTGCAGCTGTCCTAAATGAGGCCAGTAGGTCTGTGACACCAGTGGTCGGATGTTCAGGTCAATCAACAAACCAACACATATTTATCCCAAGATAAACCTATGTTAGTACTATTGCCAAAAAATAAAAAAAAAATCCTGATATTTAAGTTTGAAAAATGTACAAAAAAATCAGGATAATTATAAATTAATATATATTAAAGCATCAAGAAACAGCAAAAGAATGGCCTAAAACGTTAAGTACAATGTACTTTGATACAATAAATATTCCTCATTGAAACTGAATACTGTATAGGGCTGTTTAGAAGTCATAGAAACAAAAATTCATATTATTACTAATTTATTTATCAATAATCTATTGGTTCTTTATCATCTCCTTTATCATTTATATTACAAAAATTAATACTGGAAAATGGTAGATGAACACTTTTGTGTGCTGCTTCTGCGGACATTTAGAAAGAAGGTAGGGTGAGTCAGCACTTCACTCCCAGTCCTTTCGTGAATGGAACCCAGATCTTCAGGATACTTTATATTTTGCACAAAATATTTCTTATCAGCTTGCTCTATCTGTAAATTCTGGAATTCCACCCCCTGCCTGGCAGTCTCACTCACACACTTGTGCTTGATGTGAAGGTGGGACAGACATTTTATGCTCTGGGCAAGTACAGGTCGGTGCACAGTAGCTCCTCAGTCTCTATGTGCTTCTTCGAGTCTTCAGCTTGTTGCAAAGACAGATCTGTGTTGCAACCGTTCCCACGGTTGCTGTAATGCCATCACGTATAACTTTCTTCACACTTCTCCAGTGTAGGGGAAGCTTTAGTTTAAGCAAGTCTTTTATTTTATTATTATTATTTTTTTTCAAATGCAGAAAAAAAGTCTTTATTCTCATAATAAAAATAAGTCCGTTCTGTATTTTACAATATATTTCAAATATTTCCACTATGAAGCATAAATTAGTCCAACACGGTCAAGAAGTAGACAACCTGTGTCAGAGGTGGAAGGTGCTGGGACCACGCCTAGGACGCACACCGCGTGCAGCCACACTTTACCACCTTCTCAACCTCATCCACAAAGGAGGACCCGTCCGTGCATTCGAAAGAGTATTTCCGCCGCTTGCTCCTCAGAGGCCCACAGCACTGGGCCCCTGCACACCCGCCTTTACATTCCAGGCGTGAGACCTTCTTGGTGGTTTGGCAGGCTGCGTAGCCCTGCTGCTTTTGGTAATAATCTCTTATCCGTTCCCCTCGACAAGAGATTTCTAGAAAAGAACAGAAAAAAATCGCAGTCAATGACTGTGAGTCCACATCTCAATTCAGTGGATGCTGTCTCTCTGCCCTTTTTTTGTAAGTGCTATTTTTAGTATTATGTTTTTATTACATATCTTGGGCCGGTGGCACAGCCTGCTGTTCCTTGAAAAAAAAAAATGTGTCTTTTGGGCCTTTATTTCTAGCAAAGTGAATGCTATATATGTAGACTATAAATACAATGCTATTACACTGACAAGAAAATTGGATTCCTAAATCTTTTCCTTTATTGCAAAGAAAAAAGAAAAAAAAAATACACATCTTCTGTTTTTACACGACTAACAGCTGGTTTTGTTTACCACGGGGAGCAGTTTCAGAGAGAATGCAATTTAATTTATTAGACCTGGAGTTTAATATTATCCAATCTGTTACTTAATGCAAGTAACATTCCACTAACTTCATAAATTACCCTAATATGAAGTAGTTCAAAAAGGAGACATCTGCTGAAAGCTTCAGCAGGCACGCTCTTCCTGTCTTGTCCTGCTGCTGATACACAAAGCACAGTCCCTGCCAGCTGGAGACAAGGCAAGTTCTGATCATGGAAACAAAGTGATGGGCTGAAAAGTGTCTGTTCCCATCCCTCTCGCCTGCGTAATTTGCTATGGAAAAATCAGTGACTTTGAAGTCAAAGGTGATTTTGGGGCTAAAACCAGAGCAGAATTATTGGCGCCATCTTCTCTGTGCTAGAAGATGAATTAATAATATATGTGCATGAGAAAGGCAGGTAAAGGTTGCAGGTGAATTAATGAGTTAATGGGCCTTCTGTAGACGGTCAAAAGGAGAATTACCTTTACCAAAGGTAAAATAGAGAATTTTCGGAGCAAATCAGGTTGTGACGGGAAACCTGGAAGCCATCTTATGGTGGGAGTTAAGGACATTTCACATCTGGTGCCTTCATGACACTTGAAAATAAATCAAAAGCTGTAACAGACAGTAATACGAGGACCTGGGATTTTCTCCTGTCACCCCTCTGCCTGTTTCTTTCACCCTTTCTCTCTCATCAAAGATGGGGCACTCCTCATGCTTGGCCAAAGGAAGGAGCTGCACAGCTGGGCTGGCTCACCTCGGTCGCAGCTGTCCCCAGTGTATCCACTGCTGCATTCACAGTAGGGCTGTCCGAGTCCCGAGAGCCTGCACTTCCCATGCTTGCACTTGACCGTCTGGCAGGGATTGAAAAGATCCTCTTCTTCATCACAGAGGACACCTCCGTGGCCCTCCAGGCACTTACAGCTGTAGGAGAAGGCATTGATGGGCAAGCACGTGCCATGTAGGCATCTACAGGGGAGAAGGAACACAGGGGTGAAAGTGCGTTTGGTGTAGGAGGTCAGATGGGAACTGAGGATGACTGCATATGAGCCACAGAGTGCAGATGGGCTGGCTTCATTCTGTCCCATTTCCCTATACCTGCCAGCCTGCCTCCCTTCCTCTCTTGGGCTTTGCTTTGAGGGTTGAGCTTATGTGTTCAACTAAAAAGCAGCCCAAACTTACTTATTTCCAAGACAGGGGTCATTGGTCCGCTGGTCACAGAGGGGGCCCATCCATCCTTCCTCACACTCGCACGTGAAGCCTGATGGGCTGCTGGGCTGGCACCTGCCATGGGCACACACCTTCTTGTGGCACGGTTCACAGCCCGGCAGAATGCCTGTCTGCATGGGCACTTTCCGGAAGTCCTGCAGCTCACTGTTGATGTAGAGGTTCCGGATGCAGCCATGGAAGCTGGTGCCATTCTGCCCAGGGGCTTGGCGCAGAGATGCCACATTGTTCTTCCCTGGCATGCCTGAGTGGACACCACATTAGAGGTCAGATTCTTTGCAGGCTTATCAATCCTTTACTACCCAGAAATGTAGGTACTTAGGACCTCAGCCCAGCCAACAGGATATGTGGGTGGGGATGGTGGGGTAGAGAAGAGAGGGATATTGTTTTTGGTTTTGGAAGATGTTCTAGGTACTTCTAATGCACTGCTAGAATAAAGAACTTAATGGTTAAATTTTAAAATTTGTTTCAAACAAAAACTTTGCACATAAACATACATATATAAAACCTAGAAGCAGAGATACTATACTTAAAGACTGGGGAGCAGACTAATGTTTCTTTCTCTCTATCCAACCCCACCCATTCCAGATACCACCATCTGTAGGAAGCCTGGGAATTCCACAAAGCACAATTTGTAATCCCCTAATTCTACCCCTTATTTTAAAAGATGAAGGACCAAGATCCAGAAAGCTTGGGCAATATGGTCAATGTCACTCAGCAAGTTCAGATTAGAGTTAGGCCAATGAAATAAACCTCCTTAGTCCTGAAGTTAAGGTGCAGTCCACCAAGTCTTGGAGGCTGAGAGCTGGGGTTCGCAGTGACCATTTTTCCTAGTTCTGCCTAATTCTATAAATAAGCAACTAACCCAATACACCAAGGGCAATGTCCCCAGCTCAGTTAGGGATGTCAGTGCCTGAAAATCTTGCCCCTGCTTCTTATCCAGATGGCAATTCATTCACATCATGCATTTTTCCTAATTGAGAGTGAAGCCTTCATTTTCTTAAACAATCAGGAGGACAAAAGAAATTCCTTCAAAAACACAGTATTTGAAATCTTGGTACATAAATATTCCACTAGTGACAGTTATCTGGTAACTTTTGTTTTGGCAAACTGAAGGAATCTTTCCATGACCTGAGCCAGAAGCTGAAATAGTTTCTGGATTGCATCCTGCAGGGGGGTAACCATCCAGGTCATGTGGGGCAAAGGGAAGGAGCCAGAGGCCTTCAGAGTGCTGAGTCTGTCTGGGTATGCTCATGGCCCAGCTGTACCTGGACTCTGGTGTACTAACTGCAAGTTCTGGACTTGAAATATCAAAGCTCTCACTCTCCAGGGGATGTCTGTTATTGACACTGAGAACCATAGGAATCTCATTGGGACCCTCCCTTATGCCACTGTCCCTTTTGACATTCAAGGATCCTCATTAGAGTCCTAGCAGGTACCAAAATCAGGCAGCAAGGGTCACAAAACCACTAGAGTATCGGTCAAGTCTTCTCTTTTGGTTTTCAGTGCATTTGGGCCAGGCATTTCCCTTCTCTAGGGCTTAGTGTTCTCATCTATATCACTAACAGATGGACCAGAACGTTTGTGTCTAAGCTTGACACACATCAGAACCATTAGAGGTAATGTTAAATCTCCCCATCCTGAGATTCTGACCTTGCTGGGAGGGAAATGGATGCAGAATTCTAAACGCCAACATGCAGGGCAGGTGGTCCATGGTCATACTTGGACCTGAATTGCAGGTCTGGGCTTTGAATTTCCATGTGCACAGTTTTTTACTGTGTGTGTGTCTGGCCTTGGAAATTGGGCTGCTACAGCAGGGTCAAAGGGACAAAATTTACCATTTCCAGGAAAGGACTAGTGACAGGAAATTTCTTGCTTGGGGTGAGTCTTTCTAACGTAATCATATCCATCCATCATAAAAATGTGGGCCTTAATATCCACATGGTTATGGTCCTTTCTTCAGAGGTTAGAAATGAACTTCTTCCAAAGTTATCCTTAATAGCTCATTTTGATGAAGGTATGATCCCCATATGTGCACATCTACTGAATACAGATTGGCAAAAATTCTCAGCAGGGAGAAACAATTAGTGAGTGTGTGCCTGTTAAGTCTCCAAACTCAAACGTATAAAAGGTCTAGTTTTGATTATAGTAGAGTGTGTGTGTGTGTGTGTGTGTGTGTGTGTGTGTGTGTATGTATGTATTTATATTTAACTATTAATAGGCTATCATGGAATCAAAAACCATTTCAAATATCTATGATCTGTGGGGTTTTGGTGGTGGAGGTGCTTGATATTGAAACCAAGGTTACATGCACAGTAAGCACTGAGCTACATGCCCAGCCATAAACTCTTCCAAGTTAACCTTCCTATGTGCTTGACTAGGGAGCTAGACCTTAACTGATAAAAGTAGAATATCCAGGATATTTATAAAGCCCTTCATCTATGCCATGGATCTTAGATGGATTAATCAATAAATAGACTATTGTTAGATGTAACAGACTCTGCAGGTTTCCAAACTGGACCAATAAAGGGACCCAGTATCAAGACTGATGTCAATGGCAGCACTAGCAGATCTGTAATATATGCATGGATCTTCATATCAGGGCCTTACCTGTCCATTAGGTAATAAATGTTCTGGTTGAACTGTTTAACAGAAAGACATAAAGATCAAATCTTTTTGTGTTGAATAAAGACTATGTCACAAGTAGTTAATAAACCCAGGGTAAGTTAAGCCGCCTCTCCATTTTTCTAGAGAACACTTCTGTGAGAGACACAACAGGATGCAACACGTTCGGACCGTCATCCTTAGGGGTGGCCCTGTTTTCAGACCGGACATGTTTACCTCACTTTCCTCTGCTGACTCAGCTTCTCATACCTCTGCCATGCAGCATTCAAAGCTGTGTTCTTACAAGATTCCTTGTATTTTTAAAATTTGAATCATCCTTGCAACTACCCTCTGAGTTGGAAGGAAGTGCAACCAATGTGTTTGCTGGCACTGAGGCTGGGATAGAGGTGGTTTTCTTCAGGACTGGATGGACAGAGGCCTTGTCTGGATTCTTCCAGATACTCCACCCTCAGTAGGACTAGTATTTTTCATTTTTTAGCTTAGAATACTTTTTTTCCTTTTTTAGAAAAATGTTATGATCTAAACAATCTCATTCTATATTTGAGGAAAAAAAATATGTTTGCACTATGTTCCAAAGAGGTTTTAAAAGATTCAGTGAAATGGTTTCTAGTAAAAGCACAATAAAATCCAGTAAAGGTTAAGTCCAGAAATAAACAACCAAAAGCCACATAACTTAGATTGTTTTGCTTTGCTTTCTGATTTTTCTTAAGAAGTGAGTGGCAATGCAGGTGGCTTTGGAGTCAGACAGATCTGGACTTAAATGAGGAGTCTACTACAAAATAGTTTTGTGAACTTGGACAAGTTCTAAAAAGTCCTTGAGGTTGTCCTTTGGGAACTTTGGAGCAGAGAAAGTAATATCTACTTCCTAAGGTTTTGTTGTGTTGGGCATGTAGTTTGAACTCAATAAAGGTAACTTCTTCCAAATCACAGGGACAGCTATGACTTACGTGCTTCGCCCATCTGAAAGCAGCCCTGTTAACTCTTAAATGGAATACAAGCAAGAATGGAAAGCTTTTGTTTTTTAATGAGTCTCATGGTTGTGATTCCCATGAAGCAATTAGATTAGTAACTTTCTAAGCAGACTCACTGTGCAACCCTTTAATCACAAGGCATGGTGGTTACAAGAAGAGGCACTTTCATCCCCCACATCCCTGAGAGCAGATGGGGCATTTCTTTTTCTACTTAGTATCCTTTATGTATCCATTAACTTAACTTAGGTCCCAGGATATTGTAGTTGCTCCACAGATGTTTACAGAAGGACACCAAAGACTGAACTCTTTCTAAAAAAAAAAATCAAACTCTATAAAAGTGTTACCACTTAACTACTGAAAAATTTAAACACAGAAGGACTATGGACTTAGAGAACAATTTTTAAAAATCCTCTGAAGAAAGCCTTTCGGGGTTAAGATAATTGTGTAGAATCCCAGAGTTACTGTTTTGTAGGAGATGATATGAACTTCATGAAAATACCTGTCATAGCGAAGAAATCAAGTTCCCTGACCTCTTCATACTCATTTTTTCTGTAAAATGAGTTAATTTTGTCAACTTAACCCAATGTAATTTAATTCAATGTGCCTCAAGTCAACATTGCCTCCTCTCTTGTTCCTTTCTCTAACTTCTAAACTTCTGTGTCTCTAGTTTATACTCATTCCTCCAGATGGAGGCAGGAGTGGGGGCTCTCTGCTTTGTGGGTCTTCTCTCCTGGGCTCCTTTAAAACTTTGCTTGTACCTCCTTCCTTCACACATTTACTCATTTTCCTTCTTGCTGAATACAAGTTAAGTCCTGCATCTTCTCTACATCATTTCTAGCCCTGCTCTACCTTCCCAGCCTCCTCTCTTGCTCATTCAGGTGAAGGTCTTGGCTAAGCAGAACCCCTTGCTGGTGGCTGATACAGACTGTACATATAAGTCATTCATGAGCAGCTGGTAGTGCAGAAGCTCTCACATGGTCACATGTGGCTTAGCGGGAAGGGTTTTGACTCCTTAAGGAAACTGGGGTGGGGCACCTACTCCCCAGGTTACCTTGTGCTTGTTTCATCATTTTTTTCATAGTCTGATTTGAACACCATCTTTGTTTTTCTATAGTATAGGTAAATAGAAGATTTGATGATCTGACGTACAAATCACCTAGCATGTGGTAGGCACAGAAGAAATATTAATTACTGTCTCTATCCCAATGACACATGTTGTTAGACCCACACAGCCAAGATTACAAAATGATCTCTTAACACTCATCTTTGGCTCTTTCTGTTCTGTCCTTGCTGGCCATCTTTCAGACGGATCAGCATTGGTCAATGACTATGGCACCCGGCATCAATAACTTCAGAATTAGTCTATGATGTGAACCACCATAGGATATGGGAAGCCATGAATTGGAAAGTGGGCTTACCTCCTACGTAGAGTGGAGAGTCAAAATTCAGAGTAGACTGTTTTGACAAGTTGGTGATGATTTTGGGGCTTCCCCCATCGACGGAGAGGGAAAGACTCTGATCCAGTGCAAGCAGTTCCACGATGTGAAAGTTTCCATCATTGATCGTCTCCACGCTGCAACAGAGAAACAACTTAGCCGGCCCTTCCATGTCTCTTTATTAAAGAGACAGTGTATCTCTATCCAGTCTCTTTTCTATAATTTTTTAAAGTATCAGGTCTATCAATTATTACTGCTGCCTTCTAAAAGCTTTGAGAAGGCTTATAAAAATTCATAAAATGGACAAACATAAAGTCTAAGAAACTGAGGTAAATGGAAAATGCAGATTAAAAAATATGATTTTCAGTGCAATTTGTAAATAGGTGCTGAATGGTTTTAAGTTCTGGTTACAAATTTAACCATGGTGTCAGAGCAGGCAAAAATGTTAACAGGAACAACGAAACAGGACCCAGGAAGAAAATGGCACCAATACATAACACAGAGTCGGGAATATACTCTCTTTTCACTATATAGGCAAGAGGTGTAACTGGAAATTGGCATGGAATAATAAAGTGAACACCAAAGACCCTGCAACATGGGATACTGTCTGGGAAAACTGAAAATGGGTTAAAAATGGATTTATGGGAGCCGAGGATAGAGAGACTGCTCCAAAATGTGAGTGACTACTACTCCCTCCTCAAGACAACTGCTTAGATTTCCAGACACTGATACTTAAATTTGTAAAATTCAAGCCTGGGAAAGGATGAAAAGCTGTATTAACATTTATGCTGGTTCTTACCACTGGAGTCTAATCATATTGCATTGTTTGCTGACTGAGAATAAACAGGTTTTGATCTGAGGACAATCTGAAACATTCTGCAGAATTGTGAACACATTTGAAGTTGTCTTTGTTGAAGTGTTTACAAGGGTTCATGTGTGCTGGGATCTTTGATAGGATAGCCTGTTTCAGATATCAACTTTAAAAATAAATATTAGAAATGTCAATCAATATTTTGCCTCCTACATATTTAATTATCCTAACATTTAACATCATTAAAACTGGCAAAGACTAGAAAATTGCTTTCTAAATACAGTTACATATCAACTGTTCTCCGTCTTTAATTTGACTCTCTTCTAAGGGGATTTGCTGAGTTGTAGTATCAACTAGAGTTAATTATAAAGAATTTGGAGCTTCACAAATCTGAATTTGAATCCTGGTCATGCAAGTATTAATTAATGTTTGACCTTGGATAAATGACTTGATTACTAATAACATTTCACTTTTCTTTTTAGTAAGTGCTAATAAATGTTTCTCCCTTCTACAGTTAATTTGAGGTCTATATCAAGTGAACATTTAAAAATGCATAACATAGTTAAATTAAATGTTAGCTATTAGTACCATCACCACCATCAACACCATCTCCATCATCATCACCATATAAATAAATTACCTAATACTATTTCAGAATCTTTTTCAGAAAGAAATTCAGAAATTTAGATTAATTCTGTTAATCTAAACATTAACAGAAAAGTAAGAACTTTTGGAGAGTAGTTCTTGTTCAAGTTTCTAAAGTTCTAAAGTAAAGCATTAAAATAAAGATACATAAAAAGGGTAAAAGCCAATTTTTTCCCCTTGTGGTCATATATAACCCTTTAAGTGGTTTTATATGGATGTTCGATAACTTTGACTTTAATTACATTATTTAATTACATTAATAATGAAGTCTCCTTTTTCTCTCTTTAAAATTGTAAAGAAAGGCCCATATGTACTGAGAAATGGGTCCTCGGTCACATATTGCTCTTAGACAATCAATGAAGGCAAGTCATTGTTAATGATGGTATACAGGTGGCTTAAGACTTTTAAAGTTTCATGGACCCTTTATAATGCAGGGTTCCAGCTGTGAAGCAGGAGGTATGTCACTTTGTTACTTCTCCTTTATACCCCATTTTTGTTTCATTTTTTGAGTATATGTTTTTAACTCTCACTAATTCTAAGCTGCATTCAAGTAGGGGCATTGCATTATTTATTTCCCTATTCCTTAATGTACTTAGCAGAGTGTCTCCTAAATAATAGATGCTTAAGTAAATATAAAGGATGTATTAGGAATAATAGAGGCGTTTTTGTTTTAATAATACTAAGTAGAATATAGTTCTAATCAATAGGCTTCTTGTATATTTAAAACAAGACTTCTGAAAGATTCACTTTATTAAAAACTTTTTTTTGAGTTAACATTCGCATATTGTTTTTTGGATCTGAGAGAAATCTTGCTCAGCTAGGCCTACTTCTTTAAAAATGTGTGACCTCAATTGTGACCTTAGGTGATTATTCTCTTTTCTTCCTCATTAGAATAATGTTAATAAAAGAGCAAAGAATTCTATGGTGCATGCAATGGGCCGGGTACTGTTCTAGGGATTTTGCAAGTATTTCCTCATTGGAGCTTCACAAGAGTTGAGAGTTTAGGGGATTCATAGCTAAACAGTCGTGAAGCCAAGCTGCTTTACTCCAGTTTATGTGATCTCAGATATTATGCAACACATTTTCAGTAAAAGTCCTAAAGAGGCCTAGTACTATATAAATGTGTGTGTTCTCACCACTAAAATCCTTTAATGGCATTTCTTACAGATATCCTAGAGATAGGTACCTCACAAATAACCTTATATGATAATTGCAAAACTTGGTACATTTACTCAAAATCACTGAATTAAAAAATATATATAATAATATTACAAGAAGATAGCAGGTTTATGAGGATGCATATATAGTATGTGGAAAGCTGAGTGTGAATTCTGTTTCTCCAATCATGAGTGAGATTCACATTAATATTTTTCTCCCCCTGTAAGTTTTAAATGTCTAGTCTGATCATTTTGGAACCTGATAAAAAGTTACAACACACATTATTTCCCTTTATATCTCCTTAGAATTAAGTGGCATCTGACCTTAGCCTTTTAACTTGTAAGTATTGCAAAATTAATATTTTCAGATTCTTTGTTTTTATGATGATGATACTGTGTGTATGGGGCCTCAAGAGAATATGTAAGAGTTAAGAATATTCTAAATTGTTTTACTCTGTGTTCTCTGGCATGAGACAAACTGGGAGTTGTCCAAGAATCTTTTGCCTACATATCCTTTTAAAAGAAAAGCAATAACTGACACCAGTTGTTACTTGTAAGACTGAGAGATCATCGAATTTTCAGTCTATCACAGTCAGTTCTTACATACCTACTTGCAAAGGATAACATCCTTTCGGGTCTGATAAGTATTGATAAACCTCCATTTCCCTGGGGAACTATATATTTGATGACTTACAAAAAGGAGCAAGTGAACCATTTAACTTTGAACTTTTCCACTGGGAACATAAATTTCATTTATTACGATTATTATGTAATTTAGTTTTACTCTATTCATCTATTACTGAGATTTTGTTTTCTTGTATTTCTAGAATATAAATGGAAGTATAAAAGCCATGTGATTTTCCAGTAATGCCTGTGGTTTGCTGCATACAAATGCTTTAATCCTTGGGGCTTAAAGGAAAAGAGGGCTCTAAAATGTTTCCAACTTTCTTTTTCTACTTACTCAGGACATTAAAAATAAAATTTTTATATTTCTATGTCAACCATGAATATCAAAGTGTTTCAGTAGTTTTACAAAGATAAAATTTCATTTTTGTTTATGTGAGCTCCAGCTTTTTGCCATAAGAATTTTAAAAATCTGGTGGTGGTGGCATAGTCCAAGCAATGGAACAGGAGTCTGAACCAGACATTCTGATATCTCTGGGCTGAATGTATTTCCTCTGTGAAGTAGGGTATGGTAATAAAAAAACATGTCTGCTCATTTTCTTAAATCAAAAAGAATACGCAGCTAAATGAGATTCCATTGGATGCATAAGAGTTTTTCAGAAGAAAGTTCTTATAGAATAGTTCATCAAGTAATATATTTTAATCAGGAGTTTTGAAGCAGATTGATTTTAATAAAACACACTAAAATAGAAAGGGACCTCTATGCTTGAGCATACTGTGGGGTCACATGTAAAGCAATGAAGCTCTCATTTGCATATTGTTTGTTGGATCTGGGTATCTGGGATTAAAGAGAATCCATAAACCACCAGAAATACTAATTTCTAGGAACCTGCCCTGTGTCAAGTAGTGCATTAGGTACTTTGTATTTCTATATACAAATTCTTATAACCACATGTGAAAATCAGATGCAGTTCAGATAGCTGAGAGGATGACACTGCAGCACAAGAGGTGGAGTAACTTCCCCAGGGTTATAAATTTGATGATGGTACCTTCCCAAGTGGCATGCCCAGAATGGCTGTATGTTTATCTCAAAAATAAGAAGACCATCTTATAGATTCGGTATGCTGTCTGCCTCCCCTTTGAAACTGAATGCCTCAAGAATGCAGACCAGTTGTGTTTCCTTTTTTCTTAATTTTTAAATGCAAATTAGACAATTCTGGAGCTATGTAACCAACCAAATCTAAAGTACACAGCAGAAAGTCCCCTGGAGTTTCATGGACCTGTAAACAAGGAAACTGATTAATACTTAGTGTCCTACACAGTTGCACAGTGGTTCATTTGATTTCCTAATTTTTAAATAGTAGTTTAAAAACTGGATTTCTAAATAAGCTGTTTGATTTGGAGCATGAGATTAATTTGAATCTAAAGATATACATACATATTTTTCAAGAAGAACTTTTATTAAAATTTTCTCTTTTCTAGACTAAAAGAAAGTTGCTTTTAAAGGTAACAAAACAACTTTATTTTCAGATTTCTTGAGAATAAAATGTATTACTCTATCTCTAAGAGCCTAGTGCTAATGTGAGTTTTGACTTTGGGCTACAAGTCATTCATTCATTCATCCTTCCATCCATCCATCCATCCATCCATCTATCCATCCATCCATTCATGCCACTAATACCGAGTCCCTTTTATGCTATTCTCTATGCTGTAAAAATCAGGCATTCGTGCCAAATTCTTCATTCATTTACTTGTTTGGCAGCTCATTTTATTGGCTATTGCTTATTAGAGACAGTGGAGTGTTGACAAATGTTTAACAATTGGCTCTCTGGGAAAAGAAAATGAGCCTGGATTTGTAGCATTTGCTGACTTCTGGAGTGGAAATACTCCTGACATGGCTGATTTCAAGCCAACACCAAGCATGATGTTGCGGGACCTGGGTGTGGAAACAGGCAATCAACTGCTCTCAAAGCTTAGCTCCCACAGATTCCTTTCATATGGGCTATTCTCAAAGTGTAGTCCTTGGAACACGGTATATCCCTGGGAATTTGTCAGAAATGTAAACTGACAGGCCCACTGGAGATCTGCAGAATGAGAAACTAGTCGTGGGGTCCAGAACCACTGCTCCACACTACTGTCTGGATGCTGGTGCTATGAATTGTGCATGTCTAAAAGAAACCACAGTCTTCTGTCTGGATGAGTAGATGTACATGTTGCTTTAGCTGTACTGCTAAGGAATAATCAGTGTCTTGTGTTTCCTTAAACACACTCAAAGCTGTGCTAAATCCTGTTCTCATCTTTAAATGATAGCTATGTTTCCAAAAAGGATGTATGGTTTGGAAAAGGACACTAATTTGAATCTAATGAAGGAAACATGTATTTTTCATTAATAATTCAAACAATTCCTTTTATCTAAATTAAAACAAAGTCACTTTGAAGGACAGCAAATTATCAGCCTAGACATAATTCCATGAAACAACTGTCCTCAAACAGACTTATTTGAAATAACAGATACCCAAAATGAAATTGTCTAAACCCAAAACATCCTAGAAATAAGAACGTCTAAGAAACTTTTCCTTAATTCTATCAGATTTTGTTTTGTTAAAACACAATACATTTATCCAAATGTTGAAAACTAATCAGGCAATTGGTATAATGCAATTAATGTACAAAATTATTTCCATGTGCAATTCTCCAATAGCACATTTAATGATGCACAATTCAGAAAACAATGTTTTGCCAAAGTAATTTTTATTTAACATAAAATGATGGCAGTTAAACTGAATTTTAACTGGACAAGTTTCTCTGGGGGTAAAAATATGTAACATACCCCCTTTTAAAAAATCAGTGTGGTGTATTTTAATGAGATTACCTAAATGGAAACAAATCATTATTTGAACATTTAATTCAACCAAACAAAATATATACTAAGAAACTTAGGGGAAAGCTGATTAGCAATAGTATTATCAAGGATTTTGCTATAATGATGAAGAAATGGTGCCTCTCATTAGAGATTCACCCTGTAGTAAGGGCCAAAATAAGGACAGAGACTGCTACTTTATGACATTTGAATAGAAGGCAGAGAAGTAGCCACAGCAGAATTAAAACTTGAGACAGATTGCAAATCAAAGGTGAAGGGTAGAAAGGAATTAAGAGTAAAGCTACTAGACCCATGCTACACAAGAAGCTGGCCAGGCCTTTCAAGGATGTTTATAGCAGCACAATTCACAGTAGCTAAACTGTGGAATCAACCTAGATGCCCTTCAGTAGATGAATGGAAAAAATGTGGCATATATACACAATGGAATATTATTCAGCAATAAAAGAGAATAAAGTCATGGTATTTGCAGGTAAATGGCTGGAGTTAAAGAAGATAATGCTAAGTGAAGTTAGCCAATCCCAAAAAAACAAATGCCAAATGTTTTCTTTGATATAAGGAGGCTGATTCATAGTGGGATAGGGAGAGGGAACATGGGAGGAATAGACAAACTCTAGATAGGGCAGAGGGGTTGGAGGGGAAGGGAGGGGGCATGGGGTTAGAAATGATAGTGGAATGTGATGATCATTATTATCCAAAGTACAGGTATGAAGACACAAATTGGTATGGATATACTTTGTATACAACTGGAGATATGAAAAATTGTGTTCTCTATGTGTAATAAGAATTGTAATGCATTCTGCTGTCATATATAAATTAAAAAAAAGAAGAATTCAATGGGAACACAGGTTTATGTGAGGCAAGTGATTGGAACTCAGTTTTGGACATTCTGAATTTCTGATATCAATAGCTATCACGGTTTACTTTTTGTCATGAATGTTCTGAGTACTTGTATTAAATAATAAGATTTTCACCATAGTCCCATAAAGAAGATGTGCATGCTGCTTTAGTTGCACTGCTAAAGCATAGCACCATTATTTATCACTCCCATTTTCCATGTGGGGTCCTAAGAGTTGTAGTAACTTACCCAAGACACACTGTCAGTGGGTGAAAGAGGTGGCACTCAAGTCAAGGCAGACTGACTTTAGAGCACTGCCTCTACTTATTACTTAAGTGCAATATTTGAGAGCTAATGACATTCAAATGGCTCTATCAAAATGATATGAAATAAAATCCATGCTGAAGGCTTGATTTGCTCTTTTCCTTTGTCTCTATGCCTAGATTTTCTCTGTGCAAATGTATGAAAACACAAATACATACACTTGTTTACCCACCTTTGAGACTGGTCTGCCTTATTTAATTTTTCTAGCTGAGCTATATTGCTTGAAAATCTTTCAATATGACACATAGATCTTTCACATTTATTCACTCCCTCCCTTTCTTCCTTCCTTTCCTTAGTATGATTTTTCTTAATATACTATATAATAAAATACCAATTAATATTGTATTACATATCTACCTATCTAAATTTTAGGTAATTGTTGACCCTTTCTTTTACTAAAAACAATGTATTAGCATTCCCTAAATTAACTGTCATAATTTAAAAGGTAAGGGTTAAATTGTGTTTGCCCTAGACCTGATACTGTATGTCTCCATTTGATGATGATCTAGCAGAAACACAGACTTCTGGTTTCTAACAGTAAGTACACAGCATGATATTCTTTTTTATAAATATCTCAGGGCACATTCTATTGTTTCTCAGGCAAAAATGGAAATGAACATAAACTCAAAATAACCTCTGAAAAGTATGTCCTCATTTGGATATAATCACTTGGTTTCTATAATTTATCTTCAGATATTTTCAGTTTATATGACTGCTAGCTTTATTAGACCAACTCCCAAAACTTCACCCTCGTTTTCTGGGAATTACACACTGCTTCATCATCATCAAAAAAAATAAAAAATTATATATAAATAAACCACAAATTTATGATATCTTTTTATGGTCTGAAACATATCAGGGTTATATAATTTAAGGCCTAGTAATAGCTAAAATGTTGGCACTAATTCATCATCATTTGGAAATGAAATAACCATTGTATTCCACTTTGAAACCAATAATTATTGTTTTCCATGCTCCAAATAGTCCCAAGTGGGTCAACTCACCACCAAAAGTACTTATTGAATTCCACTCATGGCTGCAATTGGCAATTGTCTTCCCAGGACTATTTATGAGGGATCTGATAAGATCTGAAGTCTTTAGAAGCACATTTATATATGCTGTTCCATTTTTTTTTTGTCACAAACAACATCCTCTGACTTGTTGCCAAGGGAGTTTGGCTTAAATATGTGTTTAGCTCACATATCTTGTATTAAAAATATAAATCAATATTTAAGGGAGAGAAAAAATATTTTAAAAAAAACATTTTTGCCTTTTCTGGAAAAAACAGAAGTCAGGTAAAACCTGGGCCAGAATTTTACATGGTAGCCTTTAGAGAGAACTGAGAATTCATGGCCCTGATGGTTGATTCATTACAGCAACTTCTTTTATATTGTCAATATCAAAGCTATTTGTAATAGAGGAATACTTATCTAGAAAGTTCAATCTTAAGAATTAGGGGTCTTACTATGGTCCACATTCATTTATTACATTTGATTTAATTAATCTATTTAAGATTCCTGCCTAGAAAAAATGTGCATGAGTGTGTGTCCCTTCATAAGGGTTGCAGTTATTTCTACAAGTGAGGAAACTAACTAGGTGATGCGCACAGGATGATGGAGGGTTGATATTGATACTAATAGTATCTATCATAAAGCCTGCTGCTATCGATTGTGTGTCCCCCAAAGTTTATTATGTTGAAAATTTAACCCCCAATGCAATAATACTGAGAAGTGGGACCCTTAACAGTTGATCAGGAGCTATTTGCTGTAGGCTGTGGAAGGAGTATGGTGAGTTTAAAGCTAGCCTCAGTGACTTAGTGAGGCCCTATGCAACTTAGTGAGACCCTGTCTCAAAATAAAACATAAAAAGAGCTGGGATGTGGCTCAGTTGTAAATTACCCCTTGGTTTAATCTCCAGTATAAAAAATAAAAAAGAGTTGATTAGGTCATGAGGACTCTTCCTTCAAAAATGGATTAACTCTGCTATCAAGGCATGGGTTAGTTATTGTAGGAGTGGGTTCCTGGATAAAGAATGAGTTTGGCTCCTTTCTTCTCCACCCCATCTTCCCTTCTGCCTTCTGCCTTGGAATGATGCAGCTAGAAGACCGTTACCAATGCGGCTTCTTTTCTCAACTTTGGATTTCATAGAACTATAAGAAATAAATCTCTGTGGCTTCTCTTCTACTCAGGATCAGATCTGTTATACTGGACTAAGATACCTACTATAGCCAATCATGCCCTCCCATACCCATTGCAAAATTATAGAAAAGAAGCAGTTCTTCATTAAACAAATTTTTTCACCTTTACCAGTAACTGAGAGATCTTCACCTGTAAATGGCAGAAGCCGGATGAGAGCCGGTGTCGTAGCTGGCACGAACTCGCCCTCGGTAGAGCTCCACAGCAATATGGTCTTTGTCCCCCTTGTACAGGAGGATGCCGCTGTCCTCATCTGTGGCGATCTAGTAGGAAGTCACCTTGATGTTACTAGGATGTACAGCCCACCAAACATCTTTCATCAAAAAGAGACAGACTACTAAGTGAAGCGAGGATTTTTTGTCCCTGTGGCTATGAGAAAATAATACATGATGAAATTATTGTTGGAAGGGTGACCTGTCTGCAATTTATTCTGTTGCAAATTAATTCTTAAAGAAATTGGAAAATAATAACAAATACTCGAGTAAATATGTTGGATTGGCTCAGAACTTCCTTTGCTGGAGATTCTCATTTATTTGCTGTTTTTGTTCCTATTATAGGCCTTGTTCTTGACAAATGCTAAAGATGACTGCATTGGGCAAGATTAACTTTCATATCCCATATTTAAACAACAACAAATTCTCTATAGTGATGCCACATGCAGCGGGAAATCTCTGTTCTTGTATTGCTCTTTTTCTTTGGGAGGCTTTTAAAGGACTAGTCAGGTCAAAGGTATGACTTAAACCTCAACACCACTGTATTCTTTCTGTAAGGATCCCAGGTGACAAATACTGGAAGATACAGGAACGGTTTCTAAAGAAGGCCTACCTATCTCTTCTTGCTCATTACTTCAACTCAAGCCAACTCCTTAATGAAGTGTTGGGGTAAAAGAAATAAAAAGAGGTGGAGTCTCTAGGAAACTGGCTAATGCTGTTTGCATTCAAAATACATGAAAAAAGATTTTGTTTACCAGAAAAAACAAACATGTAGCCCCATACACTGTGCATGTATCACCCCCAGTGTAGTTCAACTTTCTCCATATGGGTCTGAATGACTTGGTTAAAGGTACACAATGATTTGGAAAGATTTAAAACATATTTGTAAATTTCATATAGATCCTTCAAAGCTTTGAGTGAAGAGTGAGCAGATACTGGCTTCACTGTGGTGTCTGTTTTCCCTGTACCCATTTCAGTCTCCTGTGCAGTCTCAACTTCATAACCATGAAAACAAGTGCATAAAATATCTTTACTTGAGCCCAAAATTGAGGAACATACTTTGTTGCTGTGGGGATTTTACTCCCCTTTGGATCAAGTAGTGAATAAAAATACTGGTTCCTATTTCATTTAAAAAAATATAAATGTTGAAGAGAAGAATTACCAAAGCTTTTCCCACAAGGAACTTTTTTTGTCATTGGAGCATGAAGTTATTAACCTTCTATTTGATGAACACCACCATTTACTCACCAGCTACCCGGATGCACATTCCTAGAAGCTGAATGTGGCTTAAGATCAGATCAGCTTTTGCTGGAGGGGCAACTCTCACCTGAAGTGTGATGTTTGTCTGAGGTCGGACCTTGGCTGAAGGAATCTGAAGATAGGACTCTTTGTTTACAAAATTTACACTGACCAATTTTTCACACTTCTCTCCCTGGTATCCAGGTAAACACTGACATATTGGCTCATTTATCCTGATGATGCACTGAGCTCCATTCTGACAATCAAAATTATCGCAGGGGCTGGTACGAGGGAGGACCATGGGTGGAGAAAACTCACAGAACAAGCCACTGAAAAATAAAGAGGGGAAAAAACCATGTTAGTCAGAATATATGTGAATTTGAGTCTTGTAGAGCTCAAAATAGCAAGTGGCGCTTCTGCTTTACCTGTAACCTTCTGGGCAGATGCACGTATAACCATTCACTGCATCTGTGCAGTGGGCACCATTCTTACACTTGTTATCTTGGCAGTCATCAAAGTCAGTGTCACAGTGTTCACCAATGTATCCTGGTGTGCAATCACACCTGTTCGAGCAAGCAGGAAAAGTTTCAGACTCAACTGATATGATATTAATAAAACAGCTTCATTTCTTTGAGAAAACATGGTAGCATTTTAAATAAAACATAGTTAGAGTTGTCTTATCTCCAAATAATGGAGTCTAGTAAATGGTCCTAGCTGTAAACTATGGTGTGGTTTCTCACTTCGAACTGCCAGAGGAATGGTGAGTTTATCTCATTTGTGAGAGTGAACAGCCACAATACAAATAAGAGCAGATTAACTGCATTAGGGTTTCTTCCTCCCTCTTCTTCTTCCTCCTTTCCCTTCCTTACTTCACATTTTGCTTACAGAGTCCTTTATTTTTATTTCAGCCTAGTTCATTGACCACTGGAATGATAAAAGGGCTAAATTACAAAACTTACTGCAAATTGTAAACATATTTTTTTTTAAATGAACATTTTACATTTTCCTAAAGAGCCTAGACACACTGGAACAAAATATAATTTCAAGAAAACCAATTTTGTTAATACTGGATACCCAACCGGGCATGGTGGCACACACTTATAATCCCAGTGCCTTGGTAGACTGAGGCAGGAGGATCCCAAGTTCAATGCCAGCCTGAACAATTTAGCAAGGCCCTGAACAACTTAGCAAGACCCTGTCTCAAAGTATAACACAAATTGCTGGGGATGTGGATCAGTGGTTATGTGCCTATGGGTTCAATCCCTGGTACCAAAACAAATAAAACCCCCCCAAAAATATTATGCATAAAATCATTAGTATGGTATTTATATATAATATATGATCAATAAGTGATTGCTACTTTTTATAACTCTCTATATGCCTTTCTAATTCTATAAAAGTCTTATGGTTCATTCTTCACTAATCATCCCTGTTTTATTTCAAATATATTAGGATTTAAGTAAAGAAATTAAAAACACTGAAATGAATTTGACATTACTGAATGCCACGGATTTTACCTTAAAATGCAAAATCAGGACTTAAGCATTTCTGGAGAACTGATGAGTTAAACCAAATTGGCGAGTAGGCCTCCTAAGAGTAACTAGCTGACTTTGCCCTTGCATGTATGAATTAAGAAATGAAAGGAGCTCACTGCATCAGCATGCTTGATCTGCCGCCAGTTGGTTTTAATGATGAATCGTAATGAAACAAAGTAAACAGCAAGACTGAAGCTAAATGGACCCTAAGTGGCCATACAGATTCTGAAATAGTTGGACAAGGCCCTAGAAGAGAACTTCCATCAATGTTAATGTGAGCAGAGCCGCTGAAGTGCCAAGCAGTAAAAGAAAGAACAAATGCTTTGAAACACTTTGAATTATTCATCTGAGGAAAAAAGTCAAAGTCAAAGATAAGAGAACCAAGCCCTCACTACAGTGGCTGTCGAAGAGACTGTTTATATCCTCTTCTCTCCCAATACTGTTTTTCAGGCCCATTAGAACTTGCAGTTATATCATGATCAACATTTTTGTTTTCCTTTTGTTCCTCACAGCAAGTTTCAAAACAGAAAGAAAAATTAGAACAAGAATTCTTTTAAGTTTGCATTATCAATAAAACCTATCAAATTCCCTCTGCTCCACTGACAAGGAATGAAGAAAAAAAGCAAAGAATACAAAACATACCGTGGAGAAGCCCAAAAGCCGACTAAGTAAGATGCATGCTTGAAAAGACTACTTATGGCATATCATGGTCTAGAAATATCTCAAAGCAATTCAGGAGATTGATGAGGCATATAATATAGTAAGAAGAGTAAAGCCAGACCTGATAGTTTACTAATGAGAAAATGAAGTTGAAGTAACAGTACAACTTGTCCAAACAACATTTGGCAGTAGAGATTTTCTTGACCAGCTTCATCTTATTTGATTTTTAAGATCATTTCTTTCTACAACTGTCATTCTCATAACATGCAATTATTTATAAGATGGGAGCCACAGCTAAAACTCTGACTCAACCAGTTTTTGGTTAACCTACGTATTGCTATAAAAAGAGCTCCATGAATTATTGACTAATGAAAATAGTGGACTTCCAAATAAGTTCATTTGTAATCTACAGAAAGGCACTTTAAAGAGTGTGCATCCTGATAGTAACAGAAGATGTTTAATTAAGAATTTGTTTTTTGAAGACAAACTCTTATTTTTAATGTTTCAATTAAGGCTTGCTTATACTTTATCTTATAATTACAAAGCCATGTGAAACCTGTTCAGCAGATAAGCAGTTATGGAGGATTTACATATTTCTCTAAGAAATGATGATATTGATTATGTAGGTGATATACTTTCAATTTGTCAAGTTCATTTGTGGGCATATCAAAAGATTATCAGAAGTGAAAGTAATTACCTAAGGTGTTTGGTTGAATAAAATCTTGTGTAAAATAAAAAAAATTTAATAGGACTTTTGGATTTTGCATAGAATTGTAAGCACCATGAAAGAAAGAATCAAACCTATCATTTTCATTCTTGATAAGATAACAAATGGGATTAGCAGTTACTGCAACTGGCATCTATATACTCTAAAATTAAGATTTTAAAGCAAACTGAAAAAACGAACACTGCCAAGAGAAAACTTGAGAATACATATTTAATTTGGATCAAACTTTGAAAGGCAGAAAGGGTCTACTGGCCTCACTCCCCCACTTGATTCAGAATGTCTGGTGATGTATTTGATAAATATAAAAATCTTACAGTAACAGCTTCTTATAAAAGTGTTCCTAAGCTGAGTGATTTTTAATTCTCTGAATCCTATGGCAATTAAGTGTGGGTCATTTCACTGAGAAGATGAAGTATGCAAAAGCTAGAGAGCATTACAAAAATATAAAATGGTATTATTACCATATGTCCTGTCTATGAAAGATATTCAATAAATACAAGCGAAGAGGCTAATAATCTCATTTTCTAATTGTCTGATGTAAGAACAGCTTAACTATAGTGTCATGCATACAATCCCAGCCTGTCATCTACAACACCAACTGTAGTGTTCATAAACTATAAAACCATCTAGGGTAACAGATATTAGGAAAATCACCCAACTGTAAAGTATCAAACCTGGCTCTGCCCACAAGGAAACTTGAGGTCTTTGGAGAGCCATCTGACATCTTTGGACTATGATTTCCTTGTGTTTAAGGTGAATTTGGATCACATGATCTTGAAGCCATTGGCAACTCTAAAAAGAGACTTTTGCTGTTGATCCACTGAAAATATTTCAGGATTGCAGCAAAGGAATCATGTAATTTGGTACCAAACAGACTTCAGAAATATTTCTCGAGAGGAAAGCAAAATAATTTTGATGTTCTGAGTTCACTTGAGGGAACCCTCTATCTAGTATGACTGTGACCCTTACAGAGCCTCAGGACATATATTAAGGCCAAAGGAGCACTAGTGATAATTACAGTAAGACGACAGGCACACCCTGGAAAAGTCTGGGCAGTCTGGGACACACAGTCGCTCATCTTTCCCACCTTGGATAGTCTGAGTATTCTTTCAGACCATAACATTTTCAGTTACATTCAAATCAAATTCTTTATTTCACCACGAACATACCTTTAACGAGGCACCCAAGGATGCCAGGTATTTAGCTAGATTGGCTTTCAAATAAATGTGAGGAGGCTGAGGCTGAGGATCCTTTATTCCCCAATTGACTTCCCAGAAAGAGTCATAGCACAAAGCAAAAACCTCCTTTCTTTTTCTTCAGTGTACTGAGAGAAATCCATGCTGCATAATGACTATCCATAAAGTGGTCACTGGCACTAGTGAACAAGTCCTTTTAACCTTCAGCTGAGGTGTGAAGCTCTGGAGGAGAAGAAAGTTCCCCTCCCCAGTTGTGAGCCCAGGAGAGGTCCTCTAACTTACTTGAACCCCCTTGGCGTCAGGATGCACTTGGAGTCATGCTGGCATGGGTTCAGGTCCTGGGCACAGAAGTCCAGCTTCTCCTCACACAACTCGCCTGCAACATGGCAAATGTTGTCAGTCCACACAGACAGGTTATCAGGCTCCCACCAACCATCTGCATTAGGGGTCTTAGAGAGATTAGAACAGCTCAGGAATGAAAATAAAACAGAAAAAGCAAACTAACTAACTAACTAATTAACTAACTAAACTAGAACCCCTTCCCCTACCATAGATGATGATAAGAAACCTGAAGATCCCATATTCAACCAATCTTGGTTCTGCTACTAAATTGGCTTGTAATTTAGGACAACTCCAGTGATGTGTGACTAACTTGAGACCCTTGAGAATCATACTGTTAGAATTGGGGGGGAAAATTGAATGCTTTTCATTCTTGCTTTATTTACGTATTTATCTGTGTATTTATTATTTATTTGGTTTTGAATTTTTATTGAGCTATAGCACAGACAGACCCAGTGAATAAATGATAGACAATAAGCATTCACAAACAACCCACTTAGGTGACCAGTATCCACATCCAATCACACCCTATTTGTCAGAATATCTGAAATCTCCTTCATGCCCCCTTCTGGTCACTAACCCCACCAAGGGTGGCCACTATCTTGATAAGACCATAGATTAGTTATCCCTATGTTTGATCCTGACAGAGATGGAGTCATTTAGTATGTATATCCCTTTATGTCTGGCTTATTCTGTAGCTTTATGTTTGAAAAAATATCTTCGGATGTTCATAGTCTTCAATGTCTTATGAATCTAGAAGAACAATACTTTGTTTCCCTCTTATGAATCATTGCAACAGCTCAACAAACAACAGCTTAGGCACATCCAAAGGAAAAAGTAAAAGTAAAAAAAAAAAAAAAAAATAGAAGGGGCAGACACTCATTCCATGATTGTCAGTTAAGTCACAAAGAATAACTTTTATCAACAAATGAAAGCCACAAACATATCCATGTTGATTTGAGGCATTTTATATTGCATTGCATATTGGATAATCTCTTAGGAAATTTCTTCCAGTATGAATAACATGCTCACTATTTGAGGTATATTAGGCCAAGTAACATTCTTACTGAGATACTAATTTTCCCAATCAGTGAATATAAGATACTAAGGTGACTGTAAAGGTACATTTTCAAAAGTTGGTTTCTACCTTACTTCCAAATATTTTTAATTGTTTTATATGCAAAAAATGAAGAAATAAAGTGACATATTAAAAGGCAAGTGTTCAATTCCGAGGAACTACTAGAACTTTCATTTGTTTAGAGTCTGAATTTAAACACTATTGGCTTAAAAATCAGAACTTTGAAGGTAATTCTTTTGCTAAAGATGGTCCTTTTTAAAGCTATATACTACTGACCGGTAGAAATAGTTGCCACTTGAATGTGATATATATATTATTTAAACTTAAAGGATATTTTTCTATGAGGCATGTGTAAAAATGTATTCATCTAGTTATTATATCAATCTGTTTTCTCTATGTCTTAAAATGAACGAATTGCATTGAAGGTCTCATATATTTCTTCTGTAAGATTTTCAGTGTCTCTAAATCTGTGAGACAAAAAGCTTTTAACAACATTTATATGGTGAGCTACTTTCAAAGAAGGGTTTTCAAGATTTGTGATTTTAATTACTAGGACTTCAAGTTAGGCACCTTGATGGAATTTGTCCATTGTGTTTTATTGGCCTACCACAATTTAATTACTTTCCGTTTTCTAATCAAAACCATCTTGTTTGGATGCAATCTATTTACAGTTGTTTATATCCATGGCAATTCATAAAACTGATGATAGAGAAGGACCACTTGTGATACATATTAAATGTCATCTATGTGCTTTTCACTTTATTCCCAAATAAGAAATTCTAAAAGTGATAAGAAAGGAATGTTTTATTTTTATTCACTTTGATCCAATCCAACTCAGTCCAATTAATCCCACTTAAGTCAGAGTTCAATAAGATATACTGTATTTTGTTGTACTAGATGCAAGGACTACAGGGAGGGATGTGGTTGATCTTGACTACAGTCAGTTCCTAGAAAAAGTCTGAGCTAGAGACAGAACCTAGAGTGAATTACAGCGCTGAGAGAAGAAAAGAGCTGATTCTGTCATCTCCACAATAATTTCTCCATAGATCTGCTATGGAAAGGAGTGAGAAGAAAGGCAATTCTAATAAACTGTGGGATAGATAGATTGCCATATTTGTAATTAAGAGCTTTAGGCTAAGCATGCTAACTTGAATGTGAAAAGCTGCATGAATTTCAAGTACGTATTCCTTAAATCTATAAGAACAGTATAAGAGCAATATCAGTCATTACTGAAGTTGTATATGGTAATTGCTTGTTTCCCTTACATAGATACACACCTGACTCTGATAAGATTGATGGACTATTTTAAAAATGACTTGATTCTTTTTATTCTCACCAAACATTTTAAAGCTAACACATATTGCAAAAGCATTCCCCGTGTTTCACTGCTGCCTAACTCATTTTTAAAGCCCAATCTTCTACCATACACTTTTCTCTCTGGTCTGTTCACTGTTTTATGAAGTTAACTCAATGCTTGGGATAATGTTTTTTTTTTCTTTTGCTTTAATAACTTTCTTTGACATTTCTGTTGTTGATTTTTCTCACTCAGGCTTGTGCCTACTTCATGGCAAATATATTATATTGTTTATTTACTTAATCAGTATTTGTAGAGTGCTTACTACCTTGTTCCAGGCAGTTTTAAACATCATGTAAATATGTGGTCATTTAATAGTCATGACAAGCATAGAAGGCAGGTTGTAGAGTTGCACTGTTATGAGTGCATTTTATGTTATTGGTGTATATCTCTTTCCTTTTGTTTGACTGCAAGATCATTATGAGAAGAAACATTGGCATATTTGCTTTTGTGTCTTCCTAGAGTTATGATATGGTGATATACTCAAGTAGTAGTTATTGGAATAACTATTCATATAAGTAGTTAAGCAAGAACTCTAACTTGTCTATTTATGTTCAACTTGGGTTTTATTTTAGCCTTTGGATATTTTTCTTTTTAATTTTTACTACATGTGATTAATCAGTAATAAAAGATATCTTATTCTCTTCAGTTTGAACATTATTTTATTTCCTGCCTCAGAATCAAAATAAATGTTTTCACTGGGTTATTTCTTTAATTTCTCCTAATTATATTACATTCTGCTGTATTGGGGAAGTGCAGCTTTTAAAAGTCAAGTGGCATGCCACAATGGGGAGTCTTAAGAGCTCAATATAATAAGGAAAACATAACATGCCCTTTAGACAGATGTTGGACTCTGCATTTACTTCTCAATCATTAAAGAAATTGGGCACTAAAAATGGCATCAGTTTTTCAGGATGAACAGAAATAAATCACTACAACTATAGTGACCTAAACTATTAACTGGGAGTATTGTAAAAGTTCCCCTGTACCTGAAAGGACATCATACAAATTTTATTTTTAAATTTTTTTTCTACATGTGTAGTCAGAGATAGTACCAAGTTAGTGAAAAAAGAGAAAAAAAAAATATGGGGACTGAGTTTAGTTTTCTGAAGTTCCAGGGCCTGAAAGAATATCAATGGCCACTTCCCTTCTTGAGTTGATAAAATCATAGTGGAATATTCTTCATTCCAATCCATATAGTCAGTGTGAAAATCAATTACCGTATAAGCAAGTCTTTATATGTTTAACCCAGCATCAGAAAACATATTTAGCATGGTTGAATGCAGGTTAAATGTCTGCTCATAAACCTCTCAAGAGACAGGTATCTGGACAAACCTTGAGTCCATGATCTGGCACCAACCCATTCCACAAAATCTCAGGAAATCTATTTGTTTTCTGCCATGAACCTTTAAAATCTCCAAATGACAAAACAAAAACATGGAACACTATGGATATCTGGCCTTTGTGATTTTGCTTTTGATCAGATCAGCAAGTTAACTTTCCTTGTGATTATGGTTTTCAACTTTTTTGGTGGATAAGGGGTTCAAGGTTGGTAGGTGGATATATATGTGCTGCTTGTCTGTATACTGGAGGGGAAACAGTGATCCACCAGCAGGTCTATTGCTAACTCTTAGGATAACAAAGGTTAGTGAATGAACTCCTGTAACTGGTAACAGAGGTAGTTGGCAAGCAATTTCTCAGCACAGCAGAACTTTCTGAAGACAAAGCACCATGTGTTCTAATCAAAGGCACCTTTCTGGTGAGAAAATTATGCCAAGTTCTTGGGTCATCTCATCTGACTACATCTGTCAGGTAAACATGGGACTGGAGATGTCAAGCTCTACAGTAGCAGAGCTTGAGGGAATATGGCAGTAACAGAGCTTAAGAGAATATGAGCTGTGAGGGAACATGACAAGAGTGGAGCCCAAATCCCTAAGAGGGTATGGGTTCTTGTGGGCACACACTTGAAGAGTGGAACATCAGTGAACATATTAATTTCTCTGACGAATTTTTCATAGTGGTAATGTAACCATTCATTCTAGCTTTCTTAGGACAGTCCTGTTTTACCTTTATCCCAACTTGATTGTCAAGGGTATTCACAAGCACACACAAAGGTGCCCTGCTCTGGATGGTAGGCATTATGGTCATCTACCAGGTATAACAGTGAATGCTGGTCACCAGAGTTGATAATACTCTTAAGTGAAGAGTGGATCAACACACAGAGATGAATAATGCAGCCAGCAAGTTACCAGAGAGAGCATTATGCTTAGCTGTGCAGAACAACATTATAGTCTTCAGGGGTACAAACAGGGTCTAATGTGTACCCAGAGCCCCCATGGTACCAATATTGCAAATACCACTGCAATAAGCAGAAAGCTCTATGCACACAGGTAGCTGCTCTGAGAAGTAGCACCTGGAATTGACCTTATTCTCTGCTTCATTTCAGATCAATGAGCTTAACTGATTTTAAAGTTCCTTCCTTGTTAAAAACAACAATGACAAAAACCCACCACCAACAACAGCAAAAAAGAAAAAAAACAAAATCAGACCCTTCTGTTTACCTTCGTTTGTAATTCTCTCCCTTCATTATATCTTTTTGTTTAAA